TATTAATTATATTATAATAACTTTGGTAGAATTTCACGAAAAATTATTGTACATTTTAACATCATTAATACGTATACATGGATTAATACAAATACATTGCTGAAAGATTAAATTATTAAGTATTCAGGATAGAAAATGTGTTTTATGCGACAAAGCAAAAAATAAAAATTTGTAAATTGATATATGATTGGTAAATGATAAAATTATATATGCATTTACGAATTATAAATAACAATATTTTATTTATATAAATATTGGTATAAAAAGATTTGATAACTAGGAAAATGTGAACAATATTTGTTTTAATCTGTCACGACTTGCTTGCTGTAAATTCACAGTACGCCAGCAACCTGGGTTCAATCCCTATTGGCACGAATGAAATTGTTAATTGCAATTTTAAATGCTCATTTACTACGTGCTTGGCAGTGAAGGAAAATATCGTGAGGAAACCTGCATGATTGAGATTTAAAAAAAATATTTTCAATAGTTACATGTAAAGTCCGGACGGCGGACATTGTCTTTCTAAAATTCTCTCAGAAATGAGAAGAGATATGTGCCCAGCTGTGGAGTGTATATAATATGTAACTTAATTTAGTATTTAGTATATTCAATAAAAAGGTATTTACCTACAATCAGTTCGTATGACTAACAATACATCTAACACACTCATTTGTTTTAAACGCATGTTTTATGTAAATAAAATATACTATTCCCAGAGCCGCGGTAGCTCAAAGAGTGAGCACTCGATATTAATTTCATAGAACACAAACAACCCGTGTTCTGCGGTGAAGAAAACACCGAAAGCCTGATGAAAAATAAAGTACTTCGAGGACATGGGATATTTTGCCAAAATCTACTGGGGCTCCATAGGTGTTATGGAGCAGTTAATCTGCCGCGGCATGACTTAAAACTATACCCAGCAATAGGACGTGTTTGTATATAGGCTAACATACGATGTGAAAACGCGTTTAAACCATGCCGGTACTCGTATTTAGTACGAATATTACTACTAATACGAACAGTAATGTGCACTAACATGTCACCCAAATATGACTGTGTTCGGTAATGTTTATGTCAGTCTGGAAGTTTTTATAACATATTATAATTACGAGTATATATTATAATTATAATTCGTATCTGACGAGGAAAATGATCTTGCTGATGCTGAGCAGTATGAGCCTGATAGATTTTCCTCACGGAGATTGAACAGTACACAAAAATGAGTTGTCTAATTGACATACGTGTAGGATATCGGACCATTCCCTGACTGCATAACTTGTTCGGTTTAGATTGATAAATGAAATTAATATCTGTGCAGTTTAATATTAAAAAAAAATAAGAATATTCTTCAATATCGTGGAGTCAGTCCACATAGATACAATTCATATGGACAAACATGCAGACCTGGGGCAAATAATTGTAGGTCATACAAACACTTGTTCCGTGCAGATTCGAACCCGGAGCTCTGCTGCGATGCAGCTTAACGCTTAGCCACTGTGCTGCTGAGCCATGGGAACAGTCGCAATAAGTCGAGACTCGATAACAATTTGTTTTTGAATAATCTTAGCTTTTATTACTTAAACCAATTTCATCACCAATGTAATCTACTTGAATCGAGTACTTTATCAACAGATGTGAACAAATTTCTTATTTACGTATTACAAGCCTATAGCTACACAAGCTCTTATAATATTTATAAGGCCTTTGTCAAAACGAGTGATAAATCTAAATGAAGAATCACGCTTCTGGCGAATAGCAATGAATTATTAAACTAAGGGCTCTTCATTTATTTTCACTTCAGCCAAATTGTGTCCATGTGTGCTTGATCTACAAAGGAAACATTACGTCTACAGAAGCAAGGAGTAGTAAATCATCATTAGACTCGTTACGGCTGTTGGCACGCTTTGACCTTAGTAGAGATTGAATTTAATAAAACCGAGACAAAATATTGAAGGAGCTTACTATTTATTCGCAAAAAAGTTATCTTTTTCGCAAAGTACGTAAAATTGCCTACATCACTGGTGCCCAACGTTTCTAGGAAAACAAAAGTTGTAGGTTTTTTGGGTCTAGTTGTGTTGTGATTGTCCTCGTGTACTCTGCATGATCTGACTGGATGGAACAATACCATCTTCCATTATCTTATTTTATATTACATTTTTTTTTATAGGATAGGGTGACAAGTTAAGTCGGTTAAAAAGCACAATTCACAAGAATTCATAATTTTTTTTGATATGAAGTTTTGCTTGTGTCATATAGATTTCATACATATATTTCTACTTGTCAAATATACCTTATTATTTTCGTTCCCTAAATATAATTCTGAGTAAAATTTATGAGCACGTTGGAAACACCGGCAATTTTTTAATATGTCAATAAACGTCCCGCTGCGCCGTTCCAACATAAAAAACAGTAATATCGGGCAAATAAGTCTATATTTGCGCGTTTAATATACGCTTCGGGCGGCATTGCGTTAATTAATCCTAAGAGAAGGCTCGGAGGGCATTTTTAAGGTACTGCCCGCTTATGTATAGTAGTAAACCTACCTCAGAATCTAATAAATGTATTTAATTTCAATCATATGTATAATAACAATAGATAGTAAGCGAAATAAATAAATAACCTTTAAATATGTTAAAATATGAAGCAAAATGCTGTATGAATTAATAATAATAATAATAATAATAATAGCCTCCGTAATTACTTTCTGACGAGAGCGGATGATCCATACTATAGGGACGTTATTTCTTGTGATAAAGGGCTAACCCCTCTATCCTTAGCCAACGAGCAATGGCAAGACCCGGCAGTACAGAGCATTTCCGACCGGGAGACAGTATGGAAGGAGGAGGAGCTCCACGGGAGGTTCTACAAGGCCCTTCATGAGCCTTTCGTAGACACAGTCGCCTCCCTCCACTGGCTACGTTTCAATGACCTCTTTGGGGAAACTGAGGGTTTTGTCTGTGTAATACAGGATCAGGTTATTAAGATCAACAATTATCGGAGATACATCCTAAAGGATGGCACCGTCGACATCTGTCGAGCTTGTCGCCATCCCGGTGAGTCACTTAGGTATGTCATCTCCGGTTTTTCGGCGCTTTCTAACTCTGAGTATTTGCACAGACACAAACTAGTAGCCAGGATTCTACACCAGGAGTTCGCTCTGAAATAGGGTCTCGTGGATCGAAAACTGCCATATTATAAGTACTTGCCGGAAGCCGTGCTAGAAAATGACTGCGCCAGACTCTACTGGGACCGGGCCATCATCACAGATAGGACTATTCTTGCGAATAAGCCTGATATTGTGCTGATGGACCGGGCACAGTCAAGGATATTTTTGGTTGACATTACCATTCCTTATGACGAGTACCTCGTGAAAGCCGAAACAGTTAAGCTGACAAAATATCTGGACCTGGCTCACGAGGTGACCGACATGTGGGGTGGTCTGCCGGCCGAAATTATTCCTGTGGTCGTTTCTGCGAACGGGTTAATCCCAGTTAGCCTCTCGGGTCATCTGAGGCGACTGGGACTCCATGACGGACCGCTCCAAGCTCAAACGCAGAAGGCGGTGCTCCTCAATACCGCCCGCATCGTCTGCCGGTTTCTTTCCCTTTCCCCCTAACCCTTGGCCGTTTGGTCTCCCCTGCCGAGGGCTTCCATCTGGTTGGGTTTTTTATATATTAATGTATTTTTATGTATTTATTCTATTTTATTCATATTTATGTATGTTTATATATTTCGTTTACAATTATATATTTAAACAGCCCAACCAGATGAGAAAACTTTATAGATAACCCGCATAATACTAATAATAAATCTTTATTTCGGATTACAAATGAGATCCATATCAGAGATATTAAAAAAATCACAAAATAATAATAATAATAATACTGTTAGGTGGACACACACACACACACACATACACGCAGCTGTACATACATACACACACAGGTAAGTCAGCCATGCAGGACCTTAATAATTTGCCTTATTATAGGACAGTCATATTTTTGGGCTATAACACCCAGGATACTGTTGGCGCTATTCCTTATTCTGCTTAGTAGCGATGCGGCTTTTTTGCGCATTATCGCGTCAAACCCGTCGGTGCGGGCCTCACAGAATATGCCTGAAGCGCTGCAGTAGCGGGGCAGCTCCAAAAGAACTCTAAATGCATTGTTACATTGCATTGTTAATGCTTTATACGCCCTTTTTGTGTAGTTGACCCAAAGGGAGCACGAATAGTAAGACTGGCAGTATGCCTTAAAAAGAGGTATTTTAACGGCATTACTGCATCGTGCAAACGTTCGGGCTAACATATTACTCCGGGTCGCTAAAGCCCTACGCTCCCTCTCCATGTCCATTTCATCACGCAAATCCTCGGTCTCGTAGTGTCCCAAGTATTTGAATTGTGATACTCTCGATAAAGCAGTGTTGTAGAGTCTGATAGGTGGTATGTACGTGGGACTCTTGTTATTAGCTTTAAACAGCACAAACTCACTTTTCTTTATATTATAAATAAGATCGCGTTCATTTGCATAAGCCTCACAGATTCCCAGAAGCTTTCTGAGTGCACTGACCGAGGGACACAGCAACACCATGTCGTCGGCGTAACTTAGGTTGTTGACACACTTTCCATCCACATGGCAACCGACCTTGGTGTTGCTGAGTCTCTCGAGCAGCTCATTTATATACAAGTTAAAAAGTTGACGTGAACTTATTCCACCTTGTCTCACGCCACATTTCAACTCGTACGGTTCAGAAATCTTATCTGCCCATTTTACATGATTGGTTTGATGATTGTACCAATAGCGGAAGATACCCAGGAGATCATTAGAAAAATTACATTCGGCAAGTTTTTTCCATAAAATATGATACGACACCAGGCCAAAGGCCCTAGACAGGTCTAAGAAGCATCCATAAACCGGGGTTTTGCGATTTGTATAATATCTGACTCTATGTTTTAAACCTAATATTGCACTTTCTGTTGACAGCCATGCCCTAAAACCAAACTATGCTTCGTGAATCTGAAGAACTTTTTGTAACTCATTGCTTAGTAGCCTGTCGAGCACCTTTGCCGTCACTGTTGCTAAAGAGATAGGCCTGTAATTGCTCTTATCTGAAATATCTCCAGTCTTATTCTTCACTATCAGTACAACTATCGTTTTAATCAAATCTATAGGCAGATATGCATGACTTATGCACAGTGAATAAAACATGGAGAGGACGCGAGGAAGGTGACAACCAGCATACTGCAGATGTTCTATGCTGAGACCGTCATGTCCCGGAGACTTACCCCTAGACATACTTCCGATTATCTCTCTGACCTGTTTAGCGGAAAATCTAATTGGTTTTTCTATTAGGTTCGGTTCAGCATAGACCATCTGTTGTGAAGAACTGAGAGGAGACTCTACAGTAAAATGTTCTTTGAACACATTGGCTATGGCCTCTGAATCTTTCACTCCGTCAACGCTCATAGGTAGGTCTGGTTTTACATTTAATTTATTAGTTTCTTTCCAAAATTTCCCAAAATTATGTTCTATATGATGTGAAAGCTATGATATCCATTTTAATTCTATCTTTATTATTTTGACACCAACGTAATTTTGATTTAAAAAATTTTCTACTTTTTACCACTTCATCATATATAGACCCATAAGTAGGTCGATTATATTGCAACCAAATATGAAATTTCAGCCAAGCCTCCCTATGTGCGTTACTGACGTGCTTATTCCACCCAGTTATATAATGTTCCTTTTTACTATTATGCCCACTCTTATCCTCTCTTGTTCGTTCTGCTGCCTCACTTAGAATATTGACAAAACTATTATATAACTTATCCAAGCAAATTTTATGATATGAATTATTATAAAATTTATCACCACACTCTAAAAATTGGTCAGGAAAATGAATTTTTCTTAATTTATTATTGCAGATCTCTGTATATACTTTATTTGATCTATTATATATTTTATATATTTGATTTAATTGTTTCGTACCCCGTAAAACTTTACTATGTAAGTTATTTGCATTAAGCTTCACTTTAGCCCTTATAAATTTTACATTTATTTCTACTATGAGTGGATAGTGATCCGACCAAAAGACACCATAGTCAATGTTAACATTTGCTATCGTATTTCGCGCTGACTGAGTGACGAGACAGTGATCTAACCATCGCCTACACCCATTAGCTTGACTCACAAAACTATACGAGCCTGAGTCGATACCTATTATCTCAAGAACAGCACATGTCCAGTTTTGGTCTACACAGAAATTCATCATCTCCTTACAAAAACGTTCATTTGGATGTGCATTAAAATCTCCTAGAATATAAACAGTTTCTAATTCAGAGTTTTCAACAATGGCATTTATTTCACCTGGGCACTGTGTCATTTCCAACAGGTTTTCATTACTGTCCGTGGGCATATAGACACAGATAATAAGAAAAGATCTGTAACCAACAGTCATTTTCACTGCCGTAATGCGTGAACTAATACTCGTAATTACCGATACACTCTGAAAGACACTTTTTCGCCATAAAATAGCAACTCCTCCATATGGCCTTCCTCGAAGTATTTCAGCGCCTACATCTATTGCTGAATTTCCCGTGTAACCAAAATCTTTGTGTATTTTCCCTAAAATCGGAATGTCCCATGGCAGTAACCAGGTCTCTTGTAGAATTACACAATCGGCTTTCTCACATAAATCTCTTACATCTTCAAACGATCTCTCAATACTTTTACAATTAAAAGAAATTAGTGTTAAATTATCATTTTTACAATTCATTATGGTTTATTTTGAATTATCAACAATGGTGGATTTCTCTCTTTTATTAAAATATACATAACGCCTATACGTTATTCCAGATGGCCATAAGTTATCTTCGAGAAATATATCTAATTTCTGTTTAGGCACCAATACTCTATATGCATTGTATGGTTTTGCTATTTTTATATTAATTTTCTCTATTTTTACCTTTTCTTGGGTTTTATCTAATACATAGTTCAGGATTTCGCTCTCAGATGCATCTTTGTTCACATTGGTGATTAACAAAAGTACTTTAATTTCAGCTGCTCTGAACGTATTCGTATTTTTCAACTCAGCCTTACCAGTCTTTTCTTCCAGGCGATTACGGACTCTTCCCCTTTGATATAATATCCACTCATCATTCCGTTTAGTCTTAGTCCAAGTACCATTGTTCAAAATTTCAGCCGTAGTCGGTTTAAAATACGCACTTGCATACAGCACACACTTGCACAGCAGATTTTTTTAATGTTTTCTATAAAATAATATACAATTTGCGTCTAGTGATGGACAAACTTATCCCACTTCACTCAAAGACAAAACCGTGTAAAATTTCTTTAGAGTTTAGTTTCTTTTTAGAAATAAAATCAATAAGATCCTCCCTATGCGGCGATCTATGACTAAGGCCTATGTTCATGAACGGACTTTTGACATGCTGTAATAAACGAATAACAAAATTATTTAATAGAATGTAATAAGCCTTATTTGTTAATAATTAACCTAGTTCGTCTAGTATCAGCCTTTTTAAGTCCACTGCTACACATTTTCAAGAGTGAGAGGAGAAAAAAGCGTTGCCATACTGTCAAGAAATACTCATTTTGTATTAATAAAGTAAGGCAAAATAATTTAAATTTAGTTTAAAATAAATCTCGTATTAAAAATATATAATTCAATTTAACCTTTAATTTGGTAGAGACTATGGTTTAATTATCAATAAAATAATACAATTTTGGGTACTTTATTGTGCTAATAAGTCTAAAAATCTCTATACAACATGTAACAAAAACCCTGTGCTTCCCGTTAAGTACGTTATCAGGATCAGTATTCAAAACTAAATAATTTGTTTTTAAAAAATCGACCATATTTTTTTATTTTATTAATTTTTTTTAATTTTATGTGGTTTTATTACCTCTTACTGACACTAGCCGATGCTAAAGCTAACTAAAGCGGGGTCTTTGACAATTCTCTTACTCCCCAGACAATGCAGAGGTAATAAAACCACATACAATTTGCATACAATTATTTTTTTTAATAAAATAAAAAAAATATTGTTCAAGCTTTAAAAAAAAGTTATTATAAACGTAATAATAATGATCCTGATAACGTACTTTGCGAGAACCACAGGGTTTTTGTTACATATTGTATATAAAAATCTATAGCTGTCCGTTAGTATCGCAAAAACTCGAAAATGGCTGGACCGATTTTGATGAAATTTTTATGTGTATTTTAGTGGGATCCCAGGAGATCTAAACGATTCAAAATTGGATCCAGTAGGTGGCGCTGTTGTCGAGATCTAGAAATCACCCGTGCGAAGCCGGGGCGGATCACTAGTACAAAATAAAATCTACCACTTTCGGTTTTTCAGGTTCATTGTTTACCAAATTTAACGTTATCAAAATGACAGTGTGTTTTACTGCGATCAATATTGTCAAATAAAGGTGGTAGAGTGAGTAAAACAAAAAAAAAAACTAATCATTATCAAAATAATTAATTTTGAATGGAATAATAGCAAAGCAATTTCGCGTATTCTTTCGCGTATTACACTTATGCAATGTCCACCTAATGTTACAGTCTATATACGAGTCACACACAAGATACATTATTTAACATTAATCTATTAAAATAACACACCTCCCTATACATACATTTTATTCACCCCACAAGTTCTACAATAACCCCGAGCGCCGGACAAAAAATATGTATAATGCATATTATTAGATGTTATAGGTGCGACGTTATACCATCCTTGTCATTTCTCCTACATATTGTTCGAAAGTGAGCAGTATTAATATGGTTTTAAGAGGCAATTTAGCACATTGAAATACGTCGGAGCCGATCGACCTCCAGATTATAGATTACATATACAGATTATAGCTCAATGTCAAATACTTGACATAATTATTAATTTCTCGATCATCTTATATTATAAATTATAAATATTACATCTAATTATAGTTAACATAATTCTGTATATAAGTCAAATTTATTTCTGTAGATAAGTCAAATTTATGAACTATTTAAGTCAAATTTTGTATAAAATAATATCAAAAAATTAAAAAAGTATTGAAAAAACTCCCTTGAACATTATTGTTCTTGACAGTTGACTGGCAGTTGACGTTTAATTCGAAAATATCATTTATTATTTAGTAGGTCGTTGTCATTTAAGAATTTCCCTACGCAATAACAACATTTTGTGAGTAACACTTCCAGAAGTGATTTTATAAATAACAATAAACTTTTATGTTTAATATAGGGTCGGGGAAAAAGTTTCTTCGCATATTAGATACAAATTCTAGACATTTTATTTTTCAAAGTTTAATTACATTTAATTATTATACTCGTATTTATGTGCCATTTTGTACGATAACTTATTGCTATCTTGTAGGCAGTGACATAATACCATTGCTGTAGAAATCTTGAGATTTTTGATCAAAAAAATGCAACAAGTAGTTTTGTTAGTCCTCTCTTGATGTTAACACTACCCAAAGGATTCTGAAGAGACTGAAGCAGGTGAAAACCTGAGGGTGCAAGGTTAGGACATATGGTGGATGCATTAACATTTCCCAACCAAGCACTCCCAATTTTGCTGAGTGGCCAAACATGTGGCGTTATCATGATGAAAGACCACTCATTTTTTGTTGATTAATTCCGGCCGTTTTATCCCAATTTCTTGCTCGAGTCTCATTAGTGGTTTGGAGTAGAGATCCGAATCGATGGTTTTGCCCGGCGATAAAAGCTCATAATAAACGATGCCCTTCCAATCCCACCATACATACAACATCATCTTATTGCGTATTAATCCGGGTTTCGCTACAGTCTATGGAGCTCGAATATCCTTTAACATTGATCTTTTTCACACGTCCTTGTTGTAGGTAATCCATTTTTCATCACCAATGATCAATTTTTTCAAAATGGTTCGATTTCATTACGTTTCAATAAAGAATTGCAAATGAGTACACAATTCATTGGGTTTCTTTCAGTGAGCTCGTGTGGTACCCAAATATCGAGCATTTCTGTATAGCCAGAGTTTTTGAAATGTTTCAAATCTGTCGATCCTGAATTCCTCGGCTATGTTGTAATTAATATTATGATAATCTTACTCCTTTTTTTCAAAATTCAAATTGACTTTGTGCGTATGACGACCAGACGTTAGGCGAACAGAGCAGGCTGCATCCTTGACATTAAAATTCCCGGACTGAGAAGGCTTGAACCAATTTATGCTACTCTTACTGAATCTGCATTAGGTTCATAAACGTCACAATATTTTATGCGACTTGAGTCGCAATTTCCCTTTTTTGTAATAAAACTTCAAAATGTATCGCATTTCTTCGTTAGATTCACTCATTTTGGCGGACAGAAAAACAATTGAAGTATGGCGGGAAAGTGATTTTTACTTTTTATTTTTCTTTTTCTTAATTTCCTATAAGTATGTATTGACATTATAAGCAGCCACACGTACTCCGGTTTAACACTGACATCGGGACGTCAATCACCTCAGTCCCCCGTGACCACGGTTGCTGGAAAGCAACCGAAACGTCGGGAATATAAAATTTTAATTAGATGCGATAAAATCCGTAAAAATAGTTTTATTCAATGTGTAGCGTTCGCGTAAATATAAGAAATCATTATACACAAAGTTATAACTCACAACGACCAAAACTACACACCACTAAACCTTGACGAACAAACAGGCCTATTAAACTCAAACAATAGTAATCCGCAGAAAAAGAAAATAGAAAACTGGAAGAAAAAAGTACTACACGGGCGACACCCACACGACATAAGTCAACCCCACATAAACACAAAAGCGTCCAACATGTGGCTTAAAAAAGGTAGCCTGTTCCCAGAAACAGAAGGATTTTAATAGCAATACAGGACCAGGTAATTAACTCAAAAAACTATAGAAAACACATTATCAAAGATCCCACAGTCACAAATGATAAATGCCGCAAGTGCAACAGTCAACCGGAAACAATACAACACATAACCGGAGCATGTACAAGCCTCATACAGACATATTATACTCATAGAAATAATCAGCTCGCAAACATCATACATCAAAGATTGGCACTCAAACATAAACTTATTCAAAACAAAAACATCCCGTACTACAAATACACACCACAAACAGTTTTAGAAAATGCCTCACATAAACTTTACTACGACCGAGCAATACTTACTGACAAAACTATTCATTACAATAGACCAGATATTACAACTATTTTTATCTACAAGATAAAAATAACAAAGCCACGTACTTAATAGATATTGCAGTACCCAATACGCATAACATTCAAAAAACAATAGCTGAGAAAATTTGTAAATACGCTGAGTTAAAAGAAGAAATTGGAAGAATATGGAAGCAAGAAAAAGTATATACAGCCTGCTCTGTTCGCCCAACGTCTGGTCGTCATACGCACAAAGTCAATGCGAATTTTGAAAAAAAGGAGTAGTCGTTTCTGCGAACGGGCTAATCCCGGTCAGTCTCTCGGGTCATCTGAGGTGACTGGGACTCCGTTACCGAAAGCTCCGTGCTCAAATGCAGAAAGCGGTGCTCCTCGACACAGCCCGCATCGTCCGCCGGTTGCTTTCTCTTTCTTCCTAACCCTCGGCCGTTTCGTAATTATTATACCCTTTTAAATAGATATTGCAGTACCCAATACGCATAACATTCAAAAAACAATAGCTGAGAAAATTTGTAAATACGCTGAGTTAAAAGAAGAAATTGGAAGAATATGGAAGCAAGAAAAAGTATATACAGC